CAGGTTGAGAACTGCTGCTTTAGAGTATGATAAACCTGGAGATGAGGCTTTGTCCTCTTCTTCCATTCAAGCTTTTAAGATTCTATTTCTTATCCAACTAGATAACCTCTAATAGGCTACTAGGAGAATTTGCCTTTTCTCATTTTGGAAGATACATGCAGGTATTCTTAAGAATTGCATGTAAATCAATTATTATTATTGTTATTTTTGTATGTGTGTGACAGAGTCTCACCTTGTCATCCTATAGTGCCATGGGATCATCATAGCTCACAGCAACCTCAAACTCCTGGGCTCAAGTGATCCTCTTGTAATGATCACTTCTATGGTGATTTTGGAATGTTTTTTTTTCTTTGTACCTAATTAATGTTAAATTGCTTGAACATCTTAATATTTTTCTTCGGAAAAGATATGTTTAAAGGTAAAAATTGCCAAATAGCTACTTGGGCACATTAAGGATGCTTGTTGGTTAAGGAATTTTTTTTTTTAACCATTTCCATGAAATTCCTTCCAGTGGATGAGTGTGAGTGTGAATTTATGACATCCATGGGGTATTTGAGTAAGGTAACCAGACGTCCCGCCAACTGATTTTAAACAATTTGTCCTATGTCCTGTGGTGTTTTAAAAAAGTCCCAATTTTTGGAAGAAGGCACAACAATCTAGGGAAGGGCGGGACAACGGGAAGGGAATATACAGTTTTTCGGCTGCTGAAAAGGTTAATGTAACTCCATTTGGGAATGAAGAGGTTAATGTAATTTCATTTGGGAATGAAAGGCTAATGTAAACCCCCTACTCCCCTCCTGGGCAAGGTCGCCCAGGTGGACCAGCACCCTACTCCTTTGAGCCACAGGCACCGCCCTATACATAATTTTTTTTAATGTATTATATTTGTAAATTGTACTTATGTTGAAATTAAAAAAATTACAATACTATTTTTGCATTCTATGAAAATTTTTGTTGCTCCATATAGACCAAATTTTTCATCAAGAACACACCCCTCCTCTGCCCCACCCCTGCCCCACCCCCGCCCCACCCCCGATTAATGGTGTCCCGCTTTACCAAAGTTAAAATCTGGTCACCTTATGTTTGAGTGGTATGCTTGGGGAAGTGTGATGGGCAGGTGGAAACAGAATAGAAATGAGCTGTCAAAGTCTCCCAAGTCTGAGGCCTTGGGACTGTAGCATCAGAAGTATGTGGTATTTTGTCCACACACACAGTAGTGACAGGCTACCAGCACCCCAGTCCAGCTTCTGTTGGACAGAATTTGAGAATTTGGACAGTCAGGAGGCAAAAATATTCAGGGTACCTATAAAGACATTTAACTTAAATTGTCTAGAAATTCTGGCTACACATAAGTGTATCCAGTGGCCTGCCAGTAGACTGGCCTCATTCCTTCAGATGTGCTGTCGTTGCTACAGAATGCCTTCACCGGCATTGTTTTATTTCCTCCTCAGTGGAGGAGGAGGATGTGGAAGCTCAGAGAGTGTGTGATTTGCCTAAGGTCACCTGGCTTTCAGGTAGACCTGGGACCAGGTCACTGTGCTCTATCTACTGGGCCAGAATATACATAATGGGCTTGTTGGTGGCTGACTTCTTATTTTTTAGATTTATAGGTGCTTTGATAATATCAATACTTCCTTTGGAGACAGAGTCTCACAGTGTTGCCCAGGCTGGAGGACAGTGGCCCAATCATAGCTCACTGCATCCTCGAACTCCTGGGCCCAAGCAGTCCTCCTGCCTCAGTCTTCCAAGTAAGTAGAACTACAAGCACCCACCACCATGACCGACTAATTTTTAAGTTTTTTGTAGAGACAAAGTCTTAGTATGTTGCTCAGGCTGATCTTGAACTTCAGGCCTCAAGTGATTCTTCCACCTTGGTCTCCCAAAGTGCTAAGATTATGAGCATGAGCCACTGTGCCCAGCTATCAGTCTAGTCTTTTTAGACTATCTTCCTATAATTTCTAGCATTAATCTTTTTCATTTACATAGAATCACCTTCAGTATTTGTTTTAAAAACTTACTTCTTTTTCACTTTACAGTGAAAGCAGTGTTCCCCAGCCAGTATGTTAGAACACTGTATACAATCCCACATATACAAAAAGATTTCTAGCTGAACCCAGACAAGACCTGAGAGGGCCCAACACAGCTGTGTGGTGGGGGGGAGTAGGAGAGAGGTGGGCAAGGGCTGTTTACCACAGAAGGTATGGACCAACTATTTTAGCTTATGGTGACTAATTAAAGAAAATTGTCATGCCAAGAAATGAGTAATTCTTAGAATCAGGATGTCCGGGTACCTATTCTTTTGTTGGCCAGCTGAAATTCCATGCCAGGACCAATAGTTAAACTCTTGACAGACTATTTTTCCCTGTTGTACCAGACATTGTAGTGACCAAGGCCATGTTTGGATGTTCAAACGATGTTTTGGGAAAATCCTGCTCCTACAGTGTTGAAGAAATTTGCTCTTTAGGTATGCTTTCCTTCAACCAATTTGTATCTCTGTATCTAGAGTAGGACTATTCAAATAACCAGAAAGGGTTTTTTAATTCACTTTCATAGACCTCTGGTGGATTTGTTACATGTTCTGTCTCCAAGAATTACTACAATGGTTTAAGTTCATCTTCCTTTGTGTGGCTTTGCTTAAGCAGAAAAACTCTTTGCATTGTCTACCAATTTACTAAATATCCGTGATGCCGGTGTAAAATGCCACATGAATCCGGGTACATGGAACAGATATCCAACCAAAAAGCAAAAAGTTAATTATTGTCCTCTTGGGGATGGATGGAAATTCTAGAGAAGCTGCTTGGGGATATATTGATGATGTGAGGTCTGTGTTTTTAAGTGGTGTTGCCGCGGCCACCTGATTGATTGCCTGGGTGCATCCTGGCATTTGCCATTTGGTGGGCCAAGAATGAACATTTCAGTTGTAGGTGAAAATGAGTGAAGCGATTGATTCTCTGCCCTGAGAGAGATGTCATATTCATTTTATATTGTATGTTTGCTAGATACTGGGAAGTGTTACTTTTAAGTTCATGAATTTCTGTGCAACTCTTCATTACTTTGTGTCAGGAACAGTTTTATGTTTTTAAGATGAAAAAAAATAGCAGTGGTTTTCTGATAGTTTGGTGTGTTGGTTCTACTGAATTATTTATGCTAAAATGCTAACTACATTTCTTTGGGATGATGTAAAGTTGAATGTGAAATCCAAGGTCAAGTTGATTGACCACAATGTTCATAGATGGTGGTTTGGGGGTAGTTGCTTTTTTTTTCCTTTGTTAATGGAGTATTAACTTAAACTCTCATTTTTTTTTTTTTTTGAGACAGAGCCTCAAGCTCTCCCCCTGGGTAGAGTGCTATGGCATCCCAGCAACCTCCAGCTCCTGGGCTCAAGCGAGTCTCCTGTCTCAGCCTCCCAAGTAGCTGGGACCACAGGCACCTGCCACAGCGCCTGGCTAGTTTTTGATTACAGCCGTCATTGTTTGTTGTTTGGCGGGCCCGGGTTGGATTCAAACCCACCACCTTAGGTGTATGTGGCTAGCGCCTTAGCCACTTGAGGCACAGGCACTGAGCCTGAAGTCTCATGTTTAAATTATTATTCCAAAATTAACTATTTTCCTGTTTCATGAATGTAATTTAGTCTTCATTTGACAATGAGAATGTTGCATTTGTCCTTACGGAAGTTCACATTGAGCCATGTTGTGTGAGTACTGTGTAAGGAAGCATGCTGACCACAGTAACACCTGCACATCTGGATGTTTTATTTATTAACTTGTTTAGGCCATTTTGTTTCCTTAATCTTTTTGTTAAAGTTCAGGAAATATATTTAATTATTACCTCCAGATTTTATTTTATTTTATTTTATTTTATTTTATTTTATTTTATTTTTTGAGACAAGAGCTTCAAGCTGTCGCCCTGGGTAAAGTGCTATGGTGTCACAGCTCACAGCAACCTCCAAATCCTGGGCTCAAGTGATTCTCCTGCCTTCACCTCCCAAGTAGCTGGGACTCCAGATGCCTGTCACAATGTCCAGCTATTTTTTGGTTGTAGCTGTCATTGTTGTTTTGTGAGTCCAGGCTGGATTCGAACCCACCAGCTCAGGTGTATGTGGCTGACGCCTTAGCCACTTTAGACACAGGTGCCAAGGCTACCTCCAGATTTTATTATGCATACATAGAATTTGTGCTACGTGTTACCTTTCCCATTTTGCCCTCAATTGTTACAATGTCTGTCTGTTGTTTAAACTCTTTTGTGAAAGTACTTTAAATGTGTTTTGATTAACATCTATTCCCTGAGAGCCCCACCCTGAGAATTTCTGCACTATTAGGTCTGGGGTATGTTATGAGCATTTGCTTTTCTTTTCTTTTCTTTTTTCTTTTTTTTGAGATGAGGTTTCCTGTCACCTGGCTAGAGTATAATGGCACAATCATAGCTCACTACAGCCTTGAACTCCTGGCCTCCTGAGTAGCTAGGACTACAAAGCACATGCCACCTTGCCTGACTAATTTTTAAAACATTTTCCGTAGAGTCTGGGCATGGTGGCCTATAATACTAGCACTCTGGGAAGCAAAGGCGGGTGCATTGCCTGAGTTCAGGAGTTGGAGACCAGTTTGAGCAAGAGTGAGACCTTGTTTCTACTAAAAATAGAAAAACTAACCAGGTAGTTTTTCTATTTTTACAGGTGACTGGAGCCTGTAGTGCCAGCTACTCAGGAGACTGAGGCAGGGGGATCATTTGAACCCAGAAATTTGAGGTTGCTGTGAGCTAGGCTGAGGCAATAGAGTTTTTTTTTTTCTATCTCCAAAACAAAAAAAACAAAGAAGTGAATGAAGGTAGAAGGTGAAAGTTCCACACCTCACACTCCCTTCTGAGGTCAATATTTTGTATGTAGCTTTCAGGATATATTCACAATCCTACACAAACATATATTTTTAAATAAAAATATTTGAGTAATTTTTGATAACCTGTAGCTCTAACTAACTAGTGTTGTTTTTTGTTTTTCTTTGTAGGTGTTATACCTGTCTGTGAGTCTCTGAGAACATTATAATGCCATTTTGTGCATATTCTCACACAAGGAATTCTCTCCATTGTTAACCTATTCAAGACATGGACATCAAAAATTCACCATCTAGCCTTAACTCTGCTTCCTCCTACAACTGCAGCCAACCCATCCTACCCCGGGAGCATGGCCCCATATATATACCCTCCTCCTATGTGGACAGCTGCCATGAATACTCGGCCATGACATTCTATAGTCCTGCTGTGATGAATTACAATATTCCCAACAGTGTCAGTAACTCAGAAGGTGGGCCTGGTCGGCAGACCACAAGCCCAAATATGTTGTGGCCAACTCCTGGACACCTCTCTCCTTTAGCAATCCATTGCCAATCATCACATCTGTTTCCAGAACCTCAGAAGAGTCCTTGGTGTGAAGCAAGATCACTAGAACACCCGTTACCCGTAAACAGGTAAATCCAGTTTTATTCTGAATTGTAGCTGATGGACATTACTCAAATCCCTTTGTGATTTAGGGGGAAGAAAGAGATATGGTATACAAAGTCTTTTTTATTTTTTTTCAGAGACAGAGTCTCACTTTGTTGAGTAGAGTGCCGTAGAGTCACAGCTCACAGCAACCTCCAGCTCTTGGGCTTAGGCGATTCTCTTGCCTCAGCCTCCTGAGTAGCGTTATATGAGTTCTTTATTAATCAGGCAGGTTACTTGGAACACTTAAAACATATGATGCCCTGTTCAACGTGCTCTGATATTCTAGTCCTCATTAAGAAGTCATTCTTGTAGAACAGTGTTGTGATGAGAGTTCACTGTCAGGACTATTGCTTTTACATAATAAGGATTGAACTTACATCACTCTTTTCTTGATGGAGGTATTTGGGTTTCGAAAATAAATTTTTACCTTCAGGTTAGAGTCATTTTATAGTGAAATCACAATGTAGTGTTCATGACAAATTGTGGGTACAGGATAACAGTAATTGTGGCAGTGTTATAACTTAAATGAAATACTAGACATGTGAAAAGACAGATACATACAAGCTTCTTAACAATGAACTAAAATAGCATTTATAAAGATTGGTGAGGCTTGGTGTCTGTGGCTCAAGTGGCTAAGGAGCCAGCCACATATACCTAAGGTGGCAGGTTTGAATCCAGCCAGGGCCCACCAAACAACAATGATGGCTGCAACCAAAAAAAATAGCCAGGCGTTGTGGGCACCTGTGGTCCCAGCTACTTGGGAGGCTGAGGCAGGAGACTCGCTTGAGCCCAGGAGTTGGAAGTTGCTATGAGCTGTGATGCCACAGCACTCTACCCAGGGTGACAGCTTGAGGCTCTGTCTCAAAAAAAAAAAAAAGAAAAAGATTGCTGAGAAACTATTTAAATGTTGATTTAAGTTGCAATTTCCTGAAATTAAAAAGGATATTCGTATTCTTTAAATGCAAGGTACATGGATTATTCCAGTCTAATTTTTTTTTTTGCAGTTTTTGGCTGGGGCTGGGTTTGAACCCGCCATCTCCGGCATATGGGGCCAGCTCCCTACTCCTTTGAGCCACAGGCTCCACCCTATTCCAGTCCAATTTATAATATTTTAAATACTAATTATAGGTATGAAGAGAAGGGATGGCATGGAGGAAGTGGGGAGGGGATATAAACTATCAAAAGCACAAGTACAAAGAGCACATTGGATCTTTTTTTTTTTTCTTTAGAGACAGAGTCTCATTATGTTGTTCTTGGTAGAGTGCTGTGGCATTGGTGATTCTCTTGCCTCAGCCTCCTGAGTAGCTGGGACTACAGGTGCTCACCACAATGCCTGGCTATTTTTTTTGTTGTTGTTGTAGTTTGGCCCGGGCTGGGTTCAAACCCACCACCCTTGGTATGTAGGGCCAGCGTCCTACTCACTGAGCCACAGGCGGCGCCCAGCACATTGGATCTTGAAAGTCATCATTTGTTAAGTATTGTCATAAAACTTTGAGAAAACAATTGTTAATCTATAATTTTATTTTTCTTTAAAAAAATGTTTTACTTATTGCTAAAAGAAAAATTTTAAAAATTTGAATAATTTTTAAAAAGTAATGTTTTTTCTTTTTTTCTTTGGCCTTTAAGGAAGAAATATTTTGTCTCTCTTTTTTTTTTCATTAGAACATTTCTTTCTTTTTATTTTATAAAAGCTAGAAACCTGGGCATATACAATTTTCCTGTGATTTTTCTCAATATTAGGCCAGATAAACCACAGACGTGAACCCTCTAATACCCCTCCCTCCACCCATTCCTCCCTCCAGAAATATTTTGTCTCTAAGCCTAAATTCTAATCAAAGTTATTCTAATACTTGGATAAATTAAACCCTATTATAAAGTATTTGTAAATCAATAGTACCTCTACCGTTCCCTTTCCAAAAGAAACATGGCCTGGCAAAACCAGGGGCCAGCCAGACAGGGTGTTGGTGTGACTCAGGGCTCCCTGGTGTCCCCCACCCCCAGACCGTGCTTCCTCCAGTGTTTTCCCAGGACAGGCACTCTGTCCCCTCTCCTCTCTCACCTTCTTCTTTCTCCCTTTCTCTCTCTCTTTTTAACCATAGTATGAATCTCAAGGTAACTTAAAGTCTATTTGTCCCACTCTTAAAGTTACTTTTCTTTTTTTTAATAATTTTTTTTTAAATTTTGAGATAGAGTCTCACTCTGTCACCCTGGGTAGAGTACCATGGCATCATCATAGCTCATAGCAACCTCAAACTGTTGGGTCAAGAAATCCTCTTGCCTCAGCCTCCTGAGTAGCTGGGACTACAGGTGACCACCACAATGCCAGACTAGATTTTTTTCTATTTTCAGTAGAGACAGGGGTCTCACTCTTGCTCAGGCTGGTCTCGAACTCCTGTCTCATCCTCTCAGTGCTAGGATTACAGGGGTGAGCCACTGTGCTGGCCTTGGCCACTTCTGTTCTGTTATTACACTCAAAGGTATGCCCTACCCCACAGCTGGTAGGGCTCAGCAGCACCTCATGGGTGGGCACAAACTCACTGGACCACCTTTGGACACCACTCCTTCTACACAGTGTGGCTCTTCACAGACTTGATATCACTGTCAAAGGTTTTGTTTTATCAGGTTTCCTGGAATAGTTACCATAAGTCCTGAAAGGTAAAGAGATGACCTTAGGCAATATTTGTGCTATTTTTTCCTAGAAAGCCCTTCCATTCCCTTTTATGCTCTCTTACAATGGCTCACTTCTTCACTCCCCAGAGAGACACTGAAAAGGAAGGTCAGTGGGAGCAATTGCACCAGCCCTGTTAACAGCCCAAGTTCCAAGCGGGATGCCCACTTCTGTGCAGTCTGCAGCGATTACGCGTCGGGGTACCACTACGGAGTCTGGTCGTGTGAAGGATGTAAGGCCTTTTTTAAAAGAAGCATTCAAGGTACAAGGGTATTGTTAACTGCTTCTTTAGTTTTCCACCTTTGCTTTCAAACAGTTTTGCGGAGATGAATTGGCAGAAAATTCACCCTTGGCCTGTTTGGTACACAAAGTACGTGAAGTACTTAACAGGCAGTTCAGAGGATCATGCGTGTTTGGAAGTGGGTTGGGTGGATCGTTTCAAGTGCAGAGCACTTTATCTTTAATCACAGATTTGTATCTCAGAACCTCAAAGATTATAAAGCCAACTTAAATGGGTCTCGCCCCCACCCTCACCCACAGAGTTGTTAGGGAGAAGACATCTATTTGCAAGCTTGTGAAGATACATACCATGTGGGAAAAATGTGTGCTCATTAGGACTTGCAAAGATCGTTCCTTCCTTTGATCTTCCTTACTATGGTGTGCTTAACATTCTTGCAGGGGCTGGTGTCTGAGGGAGAGAGCATCAGTACATTTTATGGGTATGGTCAGAAATCAGGAATTCACCTCCTGGAGGATTCCCAGAGTTGATCTAGAGGTAGAGGCCAGTAGAGCCTCAGTTCACGACCCCCTTGTTTCTGGGCTGGGTTTAGACTATTTCCCTAACTTTCTCCAGATTCCTTCTGGGGTCTTTGTTTGTTTGTTTTTAAGTGACTTTTTTCATCAACTTCAAGTTCTGCACACCTGGTTTCAAGGTCAGTCAGCTCATTTCCATGCATGTTGCTTGCCACATTCTTCCTCTCTTGCCAGCCCTGATTTGCGCAAGTCTAGTTCTTGTTGACTCCTTTCACTTCTGTCCCAACAGCCCCTCGGGCAGTGTCCAACCTGAGACCTCCCTTCCCTTTGCTGTTGAAGCATCCGTGCTTTGTTCATTATCAGTTAAGCAAAGCAAACTTAAGGGAATTTTCAGCATACAAATAACTAGTTAGTAAATAACAATTTATTAATACAGAATTAACTTACCTATTGATAACTTAGATTAAGAAGACATTTTATATCAAGCAGAGAAACAGTGATAGAATCTAGAGGTTGGTGAGGAGCCCAGTGCTGGGAGATGAGTCATCTTCCTGTATGTCCGCTGCAGTTCACCCTGAGTAAGTAGCCCCCTCTTTATACTGGATCCTTCACTTCTTAGTGCTGTGACTTTGCCTTCCAGCCTGTTTCCTCCTCTGTGAAACGGAGATACTTAGAATTGTTCTGAAGATGAAATGAAGTTGATTATGTGAAAACATTTAGGGCTTAAATTTTTTTTTTTTCTTTTTTGGCCAGGGCTGGGTTTGAACCCACCACCTCCAGCATATGGAGCCAGTGCCCTACTCCTTTGAGCCACAGGCGCTGCCCAAATGTTTTTCTTTATGCTAATTATAGCGGTCGATTAAAAGGCCAGGTCCTGTTCTTGTCTATGGATGATAGAACTGAACTCTTGATGTGATAACAATTCTATACGTGTTGTTGAAGTTCCAGAATTTTATATCCCTTGAGGAAATTTTGACCCATGACAACTAACTGTATCTTTTAAAAAGACACCCTCTGGCTCGGCGCCTATAGCTCAACCGGCTAAGGCGCCAGCCACCTACACCTAAGGTGGTGGGTTCGAATCCCCAGCCCGGACCTGCCAAACAACAATGACAGTTGCAACCAAAAAAATAGCTGGGCACTGTGGTGGGCGCCTGTGGTCCCAGCTACTTGGGAGGCTGGGGCAGGAGACTCACTTGAGCTCAGGAGTTGGAGGTTGCTGTGAGCTGTAATGCCATGGTACTCTACCCAGGGGGACAGCTTGAGGCTCTGTCTCAAAAAAAAAAAAAAAAAAAAAGACACCCTTCTGTTTTGATGTTTGGGGACACATCTGTCTACCAGGATCATCTTTGAATTATGAGACTGGAGGTAATAACACTTGAAAGTAAGTTTCCTCTGCTCTCCCCGTGTCATTCCCTCCTACTCCATCAGCCAGGAACGTCAAGTTCTAACTGTGCAGAAGGGAGACGGTGAAGCTCTCACAGGAAATTACCCTTTCTTTGGCGCCTGCACATTTTTGATACAAATGCATTGCTGTCAGAGTGATACATAGTGAGCTTCTGTCCTGAGTTGTGGAGTACACAGGAAGGAGGACACCATCGCTTGAGAAGGAGTTCCTCATCACTTCTGGTGCTAATTAAGGCATAACTTACTTTTCAGGCATGTTCTTTACTATTTTTTTCCTTAGTGATATTCATTTAATAAATATTTACTGAGCAGTGTACTAGGCTCTGTGGATACAGTGGTGAACAAGATACTAGATTATACATTATATGAAAGCAAGGATTTTTGTCCATTTTGTTCATTGCTGGCTCTCAGCAATTCTGTGCACGATAATTTAAAAAAAATTATTTGGGCTCATATTTTGCGTAGAGTTCTGTATTCTTTTCCCCTGAATGCTGTCGGGTAAGCATTTCCCCAAGCTGTTAGATTTTCAGAACCTTTTCACCCGTACGTGATAGTCTGTCTTATGATTAGATTTGATTTATTTAACTCTTTATTGTTGAAGACTATTGTTAGTTATTTTTATTGTTTTACATAATGCTGTGGTTAGTATGTTTGTTCATAAAGCTTTGAAAAAATCTCCAATTGTTTCTCTGACTGTGTTTTAGAACAAATCCAAAGAGTCAGAGTGTATTAATGTTCAAAACACTTGACAGAGTGTTTTTGAGTGTTTCTTAGAAAGATTGCACAAACTTACTCTTCTATCTGCAGTGTCTGAGTGCAAATTCTTTTTTTTTTTTTTTGTAGAGACAGAGTCTCACTTTGTTGCCCTTGGTAAAGTGCTGTGGCCGCAAGCTCACAACAGCCTCCAACTCCTGGGCTTAGGCGATTGATTCTCTTGCCTCAGCCTCCCGAGTAGCTGGGAGTACAGGCACCCGCTACAACCCCTGGCTATTTTTTTGTTGCAGTTTGGCTGGGGCTGTGTTTGAACTCACCACCCTTGGTATATGGGGCTGGCGCCCTGCCCACTGATCTACAGGCACTTGCCTGAGTGCAAATTCTTTTTTTTTTTTTTTTTTT